AAACATCGTAAGATAATTTAAGTTACCACATTTTTTTTGGTTTGGTTTTAGTTATTAGTCATTACATTAATTAAGGTTATGTTTGGTAAACCTAGTTGTTTAAGTGAATTTCGTTCTAGTTTATAGCTGATAGATTTTGACTTATGGCTAAAAAGCTAGCTTATATAATAAAAGTGTTTTGTAAAATTAGCTGATAAGCTAGCTGAAATAATTAAAAAATTAAATGACCTTATTTGAAAAGCTACCCATGGAGCTTCCATGAGATAAGCTCGAATTTTTTAAAAAACTTCGTCCTACCAAACAAGCTTTTTTTGAATTTAGGAAGCTTTTAAGGTAAGCATTTAAGCTATACGCTAGCTTATATGCTTACCAAACACAGCCTAACACCACTCCTTATTCAACAAAATAAATAATTCAATAAATAAAATGATTTTTTTTTTGTGGTTCAAACTTTCGATGGCACAGATATAGCATGGTTTTGGCCGACAATGTAGATGGCGGGGATGATCTCGATCTTATAGTCGCCACTATGAACGGCAATGTTTTTTGTTTCTCTACTCCTTCGCCACATCATCCTCTGAAGGTATTGTACTATCGATGCTTTTCTCATTTATATACCTTGATCGGTCGATTTTTTTTTTTTTCTTTTTTATTTTTTGCTTTTCTCTCACAAATATTGCAAATCCAGAGTTGGAGGTCACCTAATCAAGGGAGGAATAATCCAGCAAACCGATATAATCGTCAGGGTATTTTCGTCACTCCATCATCGCGTACATTTCGAGACGAAGAAGGAAAGAACTTTTGGATTGAAGTTGAGATTGTGGATAGATACCGATACCCGTCTGGATCCCAATCGCCTTATAATGTCACGGTATTTTAAAATTTTCCATTTTTTTCAAGGTTAATCACAAAAAGATAATTCATATATATTTTTTTAATAATTTTCTCGAATGTTTCTGTATAAAACATAGGTGAGTTTGTTGGTTCCCGGTAATTACCAAGGAGACCGAACAATCAAGCAGACTCAAATCATTGATCGACCAGGAAAACATCGGATTAAACTCCCCACCGTAAAAGTAAGGACAACCGGGACTGTACTGGTGGAGATGGTTGACAAAAACGGGATATATTTTTCGGATGATTTCTCCCTCACTTTTCACATGTATTACTACAAGCTGTTGAAATGGCTCGTTGTTCTCCCGATGCTGGGGATGTTTGGCATTCTCGTAATTTTGCGGCCTCAAGAAGGCATGCCCTTGCCTTCATTCTCACGCAATACCGACTTGTGATTTTTTGAGCCGATGATAAGTGATAATCTGACTGCATTTCGAAAGAAGTTACCGAGTATTTGCCTCTTGACAAGAGTATAGCGGATGAAGCATAAAGTACCACCTTTGTAACTTTTCTTCTTGAAGCAAAAGCTCGATTTTGATGTGACGAAACGTGGGTTTTGCGTTCGAACATGTAGGCCAACGTTGCAGACTTCTGCACTTCTGTTCATGAATAGTCGAACCTTGTCGATCTTTGCTAGGCATTATTATATACAGAAAAAAGTCTGACTGCACATACTCGGCTATTTCGATTGTTGATTCTACTCGTGTGGACATAGTTCTTTCTTACCATTAAATCACACATATTTACATCTATTTATGTGCAAGTCCAACATTAAAACTCACACATTCATACGAATGTGTGTAAATTAAACTGCAAATAAAATTCACATGCACACTATCCATGGTAGAACGAAGTTCACCGCATGCACACGCAAAATGAGAAATGCTACGGTTCCGTTATGGAATTATTCTGTCATGATTTGTAGTCGTTAGATCATCATATAGCTGTCGAGTATAGTTGATATAACGGTTACAAACCTCGACAGAATGGTTTTGTAACGGGACCGTAACATCTCTATGTGAACTATATAGTATATAGTACACTTTTGAGTCTATAAATTATACAAATTCAACACACACACAATACAAGGAAAAAGTGTGTGTCACTGTGTGAGATATACACAACACGTGGGTATAAATGTATCTACTTTCCCTACTGTGCCTCTTATTTACCATTCTCAAACCAAAATCTACCCCATATGTAAAAAGGCAATTTACTGTGAATCTAAAAGATTCTTTCTCCAGTAGCATAAAGATTCCAAAACACAGTTGTTGCAAAATACAGACAAGCTGTGAGAGTTAAGAATGCCTGAAAGGAACCTAGCCACTGCACAAAGAAACCAGTCCCAATTGTACTTATTATTGCTGCTAGTGTTCCAACTGAATTACAAATACCTGAAGAAAAAAATACATGAGATTATATTAAAAAATCACGAAACGAAAAACGAGGCATTTTCGAAGCGGGGTTTTACGAAAGCGTACCGTGAAGAAGTCCTGCGCATTGCGGCGCAATATCCTGATGAAAACGACCCAAACGAGCAAAAATTTAGTTAAAAATTTTAATAGCGTATTATAGATACACGAACGAAACTCAAAAAATGCGGAAAAAAACTTACGTGCATATTAAGCAAAAAACCGGCTTGACTGAACGAGCTGAAGCTCAAGGCTAGAGTTAAAAACACGGACGCAATCTTTGGCGTATTTGCATAATTCAAACAGATCAAAGCGATTCCAGGCCCGATAAAACCAATCGACTGTCACAAAAGCCGGTCTTCAAAGGTGTTAAGTGTATACATTTTCGCTTGTTTTCGGTTAGTTAATGCAAAATCGTAATTAATTCATTTACCTGCATGATTTTCCTTGCCAATGTTACAGAACAACCCGATTTAATCAAGTAATCTGACATGTAACCGGCAATATAGCCCGAGATAGCCATTGTCCCCCAAGGAACTGCACTAAACCAAGCTGCTTGCTTCAAGTTCACATCAAACACCTAAAAAAAGTTTAAAACCAACTTACAAATTTTTCAGCGAATACCAAAAAATTTCGAACGATCGACAAAAAATAACCGAAAAATGAAAGATACTCACGGTTTTGAAATAAACCGGCATCCATGACAGAAGAACAAAGTACCCCTGCATTTTAAAGAGAAATTTGGCCAACCGAACATTTATGATAACCGAAAAATGGAAAAAAAAAAATTGGAAAACGAAAAAACCGACCCAATTATTGGTGAAGTTAGCAAAGATTATAGCCCAAGTAGGCCGTTTCGAAAGGAGCTCGAGCGGTGAAAACTTGCCCTGACCCACATACGAGCCCGATTTGCCAGCTTGGATCGATCGTGGCTCGTTGGTGACCCTACGTGTCCATGTAACGAGCCAAAGAATTCCGAGCGATGTAAAGAGAACAAAAGGACCCGAAATCCCGATCGATTTCGACATTATAAGTGGAGTCGAAGCCAAACCAACAACATTCCCGAGCTGAAATCCTCCCATCGATATCCCGACAGCTGTCGCTCTCTCATTGGTCGGAAACCATCTTCAAAACATACTTTTGTAAGTAAGCTATATAAAAGTTGATGATAAATTGATAATTGATAATCACTTTTTTTTATTTCATTTTTTTTTTTTTTACCTTGATAAGACATTGTTCATTGAAGGTAAAGCTACGCCTTCGGCAAATCCGAATAAAGCACGAACGGCGAAAAGGCTAGCTGCCGAGTGATTAGCCGCCATTGGAGTTAAGAGTGTGGCTAAGGACCAAAAAGTCGCGCCCCAAGCAATGACTCGTTTTCCTCCGTATTTATCGACCAAAGCACCTCCGATAATCGAGGAACACATGTATCCCCATAGAAAGGATGACTACCAAGACAATTCGGCAAAAATGTACTTGTCTTTTATCATCGATAATCATGTGAAGAACTACGATATGATACGAACATGTATATAGTTTGTTAAGCTCCCGATTTAACCGTTGGATCATCTATCTTATCTAACTATACGTGAATCCAACTGTTAAAAGACTTTATATATACTGTCAGTGTATAAGCAAAGCTATACCACCAAAAATCACTTCTCAACTACCACAAAAATTGAATTCCCATGAAAAAACACAAACAAAATCACCATTTGCCACTCTTTAAGTTTCAACCAAGTCATACATAATATTAAATTAAATTAATATAACGAGTCTTACTTATTTGGTCTTCAAAGATGAGTTGGCAATCAAATTCTAAACCTAAAAGATAAGGTCAACCCAATTTCAGATTCAAAGGATATATATAGTCAATTATTTAAGTTTGGCATCAAAGACTAAATCTATTAAGGGACCAGCATTGTTTACAACTATTAATTTAACACTCCAGACATGGGTTTTAGGAAAATAAATAAAATACAATTTAATATAAAGAAAAAATATAAAAAAAATTAATTTAACACTCCAGACATGGGTTTTAGGAAAATAAATAAAATACAATTTAATATAAAGAAAAAATATAAAAAAAAAGAGATAAAATTTTAATATATATATATATATATATATTATATTAAATGTGAGGTAGTCGAAGATATTTCGGACATGAATCAATAAACTTTCAGACCATAGTAAATTTATCACATTTGATAAAACTCTTCAAATCAGTGT